CCCCCCCCTCTAAATTCAATTCTCTCCTGGAGAACGTCTTCGTGAGCCTCTCATGATTTCAGGATAGTTGAAACCCTCTTGAACATTCAGAAAGAGTGCATAATCACGAAAGGTGTTCCCCGAGGGGATACATACCTAGAGTTTGTTTTGTGAAGCACGTCAATTCTCTCCTGGGGAACGTCTTCGTGAGCCTCTTATGGTTTCAGGATAGTTCAAATCCTATGATGCTCCGATTCAATGCTCACCGATGATCTGAGCCATGGGGCAAGTTTGTTTTCCTCAGAATCTTTTTGAACATTTAGAGAGCATATGTTTGAACATTTAGAGTGCATATGAACATATATTTACGACAGGTCGCCTCCGAGGGGATAAATCACCATGTCGAACATTGCATTTTTGTTCCTGCCTCTCGCGTTCTTTTCTCTTCCCGCTGTCCTACCTTTCGTGTCTCCCTCCTCTCAAGTAGATTGCATTCATAGCCATTTGTTCTGACCCTGCTGCCAGGTCGGTCAGTATAGTGCGTGCCTGCTCAACCTCCTTATTCGGGGGTTCTTCCTCAGCAAGATTGATTTCTTTCACCTCTTGTGCCAGATGTTCCGTCCGTTCCACTTCCATTGGGTCTGGCATGTCAGGATCAGCAGCTACTTCGTCCACCGGTCTAGTGACGGGCATGCCATCAAGTCCCCGATGTGCGCTGAAATCACCGAACTGTTTTGCAGGAGTTGCAGCTCTCATCTCAAATTGTTGCAATCTGTCGTTTGCTTCACATGATGGCAAATGGAGGCAACCTCCATGCCCAAACATTTTCCCGGATCAGAGGGTGGGTGATCAGAAGGCTGGCCTTGGATGCGCGCTGGGCTGTACTGGTTGATGCACGGAGTATGCAGAACTCGACTTTACATTTGTGTCGTTCTTGGCATCTTTGCCAAAGATTGCCATTTGGTTTTTGGGTCTGTTTGTTTTGCAAGTCCTTCTCCTTGGAATTTCCATTTCAAGTCTTGTGAAATTTTGCCCATGAATTTGTTAGGATTTAGGTTTGTTGAGTTCTCTCTTCTTGGGAGGCATGTGTAAACACATTGGAGTCACAGGTTTCTTTGTTCAGCAGAAGGCACACGCTCATTGTGGAAACCAGTGTGAACAAACCTCCACGATGGGACAGCGGAGATGCCTTCGTGTCACTGACAGTTGCAGCGTTTTGTAGTTCCATCCCGCTCGGTAAGGTTGGCCGATGTATGGACATTCTGTGCTTACACACTGCTGCAGGTTTTTACTGGTATAAGTCGATTCGCGGGTGCAACAACGTTGGCCGTACATACCCTTTTCTCAAGGTGGTTTGGAATTGGTTGGTATCACGAAGGTTCGTCCTTCAATCATGAACTCTCCATTATGTTGATGCAAGATTCAGTTGCCCAGGCGCAGCAACGCGCTTCTGATTTTTGAGAGCCCCAAAAAGTCTTTGTTTGAGAGTGGCAGGTCCTTTGGCCAGTGTTGGAACGCGCACCACTGCCTCTGTTGAATGCCATTGCAGCTGAAACCAAAGCAAACCTACAGTGGAATCTTGGGGCCAGCATGAAGAAAATGCAGTTTTGTGTGCAACCCATGAACTTGTATTGGCAAACTTGCCAACACTAAGCCGTTTCAGGTTGAAAGGTTTCCTAAACTGTGAAAAACCAAACGACCAAACTCTATTCTGTTGATTTCATGGATTATTGCAACCTGGCACAAAGTTCCTCCGCACGGCGCCGCAGTCATGTTCTTTTGCATCTATGGCTCATAGCTGGTGCAAAGACATAAACATCGAAGGTGTTTGCAAACATGTGATGACAAACAGGGACAATTGGGACCATCGACAATTGACGCAAGACGACCGTACAGTGTACAGATTTGGAACTTCAGACAGAGGCTGAGTGCAAAGGGTCCAGGAGCAGCTTGCTATCCGTCATATGGTTTGTATCGAAACAGTACACTAAGTTGCAGCGCTCAGCCACATCAAATCCATCCAAATCCATTTAGTGGAGAACACTTCATGTCACTTCACATATCCAACACCCCTAGACATACTACACTCCTGGAAGATCTTTGGACAGATCAAACACTTGGTCCAGTTTTTCTCCCTGCCATGAAACCCCGGGCCTCACAGGCCATGGTTGTTTTGCTCGCTCGTGTTCTTTGTTGTTTATTTAGAGGATTTGATGCTGAGCTTGTTTGGAACTAGTGAGCCTGGACCTGTGCCTATTGAACCTTAGTGCTTCAGGATAATGCGGCAGATGCATCAGAGGACGCAGCAGTTGCAGAAAGTGAAACATGCACATATGTTGGTTTTGTGCAACTCTAGTTGTTTTTAGCCGATCCTTGATTGGAGGATGAGGACGAGGTAGAAGAAGAAGAGGAGGAGGAGGAGGATGACGATGAGGAGGACAATGAAGAGAAGGACAAAGATGATGAAAAGGAGGAAGAGGAGTGGGATCATTAGCCAGTCTTGCAGGTGTTGAAACTTTGGGGTTGTGGTTTGAAAATTACTGTAATTGGTCAGTTTGCGGTGCTTGGCATGAAGCGATGTTTGACATGATCGTATCAAAACTGGTGTTGGAAGGAAGACGAGAAGGAGGAAGAGGATGGGGACAGCTCTGGAGACAGCTCGGAAGCTTCCAGTGAAGAGAAGCCGAAGGACATAGCCTTTTCTGGGCTCCATGCTGCAGAGAGACAAGTTTCAGCCAGGTCTTTGAGCCAAACGCACAAAGCTTTGAGCTAATCAGGTTTTCTCCTTTGTGTATAGCTCAGACTGGTTCTCTCCTTTGTGTAGAGCTCCTTTCAAAATCTCTTTCCATCAGGCTGAGCAGTCCAAGGACCAGTTTGGCAAGGCCAAGACCTCCTCTGTTTGAAGCCAATTCTCGTTGAACCTCCTCCGGCCACATCAGGAGACCAAAGTTCAACTTCTGCCTCGAGACCGTTCCCGCTCTCGATCCCGAAATGCCAAAAAGGCCACTGAAGCTGTCACTGAAGCTGTGATCCCAAAACCCAAAACCTATGCGTCTCACATGCTGGAGGATCGGCGGAGTCGGTCAAAGCTGAAGCGGCAGGCGGAAGGGTTTCAGGGAGCCTTATGCAATATATATATTTATATGTATAAACTATTGCTATATATACATATAAACTTACAACTGTTATAACAATATGATAGATATGTTGATATATTGCTTTGCTGGTCAACTTCCTTGCGTTTCTGCCTGTTTTGTCCATTGCTGAAAGAAATCCGGTGCATGGAATCCATTGTGTGGCTCGATCAGTTTCCCGAGATGCTGTGAGAATAGTCCAGTTGCAAGGGCAGGTAAATTGACATTCCTGGTTAGTGTAGTTCAGGAGAAGAAATCCAGCTGGAGAGCTAACAGGCACCGGAGAAGAAGTGAAAGGTGCTCAAATTGAACTCATGCTTGGGGCAACCAGATGTCTAACCACATGACTTTACATCCTTGCTGGCATTGATTGGACTTGGAATTTGAACCTCAGTCAATAACGCAAGTGCAGCAGCTGCTTGCGATTGGAAACGAGTCCCACAACTCAGGGTCGAAGTGATTCCCAATTGAACCGTCCGCTAGTACAGAGCCTTTTCACTTGCATGGGACAACTGCTTGACATGCTTGGGGCCCTTCGGTCCCTTCGCATTGTTGGCCCAACTCCATCAACAAAATTAAATATCCCGTATTTTGTTTCGTGGATGTCCCGCTCAGGATCAATGCTATGCTGTCACAGCCTGTGTTATAAGATCTCACGATTTGGCAGTTATGCTGTCATTGCCTGGGACTAGGCGAAGCTCCAGCTCACCCAAGAAGCGCAGGTCGTCTCAGCCTTGGCGCTTGGTGTCGATCTATATAATCTACCTACCCCAAATGACCAAGCTGCACATTGTTTTTTGTTGCCTTCTGTGGCATTCCAATCACAAATTAAAGGGATCCTTTCATGTTGATTGGCCATCCTTCTGGAAATGCCCAGAAGTGCAGAGATCCTGTCAATTTTGAACAATCAGCCGTTGCACAGCTTCCCTTGTTCCTGGCAGGTTCTTGTATTCTAGCAATGCGCTTTGTGTTCACTACTTTGTGCCGGAAGCAGCCAAGCAGCAAAGCTTTTGCTGCCAGGGTCATTCTCTCCTCCTTTGCGGCCTCAGGCGAAGTCCTCGGAAGAGCCGCGACCGGCGGCCACGAAGTGCCCTTCGTAGCCCCCGGCGCAGCGAAAAACGCGAGCGGCGGAAGGCCCCTGCCCGACTGGTCAATCTTTGGAATGTGTAAGTGTATAGGACTCTAAAAGGCCTGAGTATGTATACATATAAATAACACAAGAATGAGTCGAATAATGTAGGCCTCTAAAAGTACAGAATGAACACAGCAGCAGTATGACCAGTTATCATGTACAGTGAGTTGTTGAGTTCATGACTGCGAGATATATTCAAGATGTGCGAGCTAGCTGCAGGATGATCGGAAACGGTGCAGTTCGAGTTCACGCAAGGATCGCCAGACATCTTGTAGAAATTGAGAGTGAATCCAGGATTGTGATGGGGGGAGTTAGGAGGACAGAACTGCAAGCTTACTAGGAGCAAAGACGCTACTAGGGGCTCCTGGCATCGCTACTAGGAGCAAGGACGCTACTAGGGGCTCCTGGCCATACTACTAGGAGCAAGGACGCTACTAGCGCTTTTGTATGTCCACTTTCGGCCCTTTCTTTCTCAGGACCGCAAAAAGCGCAGTCGAAGCCGGAGTGCGCGTTACAAGAAGAATGACAGAAAGGGTTGGAAGCTTGGCACTGCCATCCAAGTGTTACCGTTCTTTCTTGTGTTAGAAGTCGCCAAGCCGGTTTGCAGAACGAACAAGTAGGTACCACATCACTCCCTATTTAAACTGATTTAGACACATATTGGTTTGCTTGTAATCCTCACGACGCTTGGCAAGAAGAACGTTAGAAATTACACCTGTTTGACTCAGGTTCTCCAAGGCGCTCACAACATCGGAGGAGGACTCGGGTGTTTCGTGTTTGATGCTGTGCTGAATGGCCAAAACTATGCATGCGCATGCAAGGAGCCCTTCGCCTTTGCTGAAGAAGGTGCCATACCACAAGTGAATGTAAAGCCATATTCTTGGGTCCCCATGTCTCTTGTTCGTTGTTTGTTCACTATTCTGTGGCCAGGGTGATAGCGAGAAGGCGGACTCAGCCTTAGAAATCTCTGAAGGTCATGAGTCAAAACGTGACATGTGAATCGCTTAGGTTGCAAAAGGCTCCAGCGAGGTGCCGAAGACCTCACCTTCGACGCAATCGCAGCTTTTCAATGCCTTAGAGTCCCTGGAAGCCTTGCTCAATGACAAGGCACAGGATCCCAAGACAAAGGAGACAAAGCCACAGTCGACCCAGCAGACTTCAAAGCCGCCGTTGGAGCGTCCGCCATTGCCGCGGCAGCCAGCCAAGCTAGCACAACCGGCACAACCAAAGCCGGCACAGCCGAAACAGCCGGTACAAGCTGTACCCAAGCCTGCCTCACTGGGGTTGCCAAAGAAGCCACAGGCGCAGTTTGAAGCACGGTTTATGGTTGCGTATGATCCAATCGCGTTCCGACATTTGTTTGGGTTTCAGGAAACGCTTGTTGAGGGCCTTCAGAGTTGAGTGACTTGAGGGTAGGGCCTTTGATTTTCAGTTGGAGATCGCACTGCTTTTTGAGCAGCTGCTCTTTCAGGTCTTGGATTGGAGGAGACGCTCCGCTGTTGAGACCAAGCCTCCGCAGCAGGTGCCATGCTGCGGCCATGCAAGCCTCCTAACAGATGCCACGTTTACGCAACTTTTGAGACGTCTAAGAGACGTCCAGGCTTTAAAGTCGAGCGGAACAGAGATACTAGCGGCACACTGGTTTACAGTAGGTGATTTTCTTTTTTAAGCCAATCAACGGCACAGATTATATTATACATTATACATATACTTCCACCGCCCCAGCACGGATGGGGTGTACACTGAATATGTGGAAAGCTGTTGCCCTCCATGGATCACAACAGTAACATGCAGTGACAGCAGCAAGCTGAGGCTGTTCATTCAGTGGATACCCGAGGCCATCAATAGGTTTGGGACGTGTCACTGTGAGTCATTGTTTGCCCCCAGGACCAGCGAGCTTCTGCTGGATCCTCAGTGTGTGACTGAGGTCACAGATTTCTTTGCTTTTCTGGAATCTGGGTGGGACGAGAGTCGAGACACGAATCATCACGGCTTCAATTTTGCTATCTCATTTTGAGGTGCCGATTCTAGGGAATAGCATCACGCATCCATACAGCTGGTGAAAATGACAGGATCCAGGCTATGATTTTGCCCTTCGAGCTCATGCAGGAGTAAATTACTTTGGAAGTTTCATGTTTTCATTGCATGTAGTGCTTTCCATATATATACATACTGTATATGGTGTATTTTTGCTCGATATACAGTTGATGATCAGCCAATGCAAAGGCATATTTTGAGATCAACTTAAACATATTCTGCCCCCCCGAAGTGTCACGCAGAACCAAGGTCCGCTCAACCAGAGTTTTCATGCTTTTCAAACGGCTTGCTTTTCTTGAGGGTAGGTTGGCAACCAAGTAGAACAAGATTGCAATGTCCATGTAGTGTGAACACCGGCCCATCCCAAAAGTGGCCACATGGCCAAACTCAGACTCAGATCAGTGCACACCAAGGCAAGAACAGGATATCAAAGGGAAAGCATGTAGGTTTGGCTTTGTGTGTGTGTGTG